TTGATGCTTTTGAACTGTGGTGTTGGAGAAGACTCTTGAGAGTCCCTCGGACTGCAAGGAGATCCAACCAGTCCATCCTAAAGGAGATCAGTCCTGGGTGTTCATTGGAAGGACAGATGCTGAAACTGAAACTCCAGTACTTTGGCCACCTCATGCGGAGAGTTGACTCATTGGAAAAGACCCTGAAGCTGGGAGGGATTGGGGGCAGGAGAAGGGGACGACAGAGGATGAGATGGCTGGATGGCATCACGGACTCGATGGGCATAGTTTGAGTAAACTCCGGGGGTTGGTGATGGACAGGGAGGCCTGGCGTGCTGCAATTCATGGGGTCGCAAAGAGTTGGACACGACTGAGCGACTTACCTGAACTGAACTGAACTGAAATAGATAAATGCTTTTAACAGTATTTTAGAGGATTAAGCACTACATGTTCAGTGCACCAATTGCAGAAAACATGATGGAAGCTGATCTGGGCACCAAGTTTCAGAGCACGGCATTAACAGTGAGTATCATTCATGTCACAAATGGGTCTTTGTCTAGTTGGGGAGTATCATGCCCAAAGGCAGGTTTGCTAAACTTTGGCAAGAAGGCTTAACATGAATCCAGATCTACAAGTATGTACGCACTTTGCTGTACTTGGAGGGTCCCTGCATCAGTAAGTTATCAAGGCTGTAAGGGATTCAGAACAGAGCAAGTCCGACCACACTCTCAGGATATTCCGCCCACTTCTGTTGAGTGCTTTACAGCTTTCAGAGGCTTTCATTGTCCCAGGATTCCCCAGAGGTAAGCAGCACAGGTGTTACTAATGGTGGGTGGATAACTTTTTATACATATTCTATACACATTAAATGTTCCAGATCATATCTTTGTTCTTTTGTATTTTCTTAGCATTTCAACCACCAACTTGTTTATATTCCTAACACAATCTTGGCAAGATAAGATTTAGGGAGTGGTGAGCAGATATCATATAATTTCAGATCTGTCTGGGAACTCAAAATTGTAGGTTATCATAGGGAGTGAAGGAGGAAACCCGAGGCCCTGGGGAGTTTTAGGTGGCTGGCCCGAGGTGGCCTCTCATGTGAATCCACATATTCTCTCTTCAGTTGTGTGATTTTCTTTGCCTCTGTTGTCTTGTCTCTTATAGGAACAGACAGGAAAGGCCTGCAAGAGAATCTTCTCAAGGTCTCACTCAAAGAGGGAGCAAGAAGTAGGGAGACTCTACATAAGCTCTAGAAATGCTGTTTCCGGGAAAAGAATAAAGATTTTTGTGACTTTTTTTAATAATCATAACCCTCAAATTCATTGCCTTTACCATAGGGTAGAAACTTTTGGAAAAATATTGTTTTCCTGTCTTCTTGGTCTCAATTTGCGATTTTAGCTAAATTTGTTTCAATGACAGATGCTTAAAACATGTAAAAATTAAAAGTACCATTCTTTTATCTCAAGTCTAAATCCCAATATTTTATTATCTCCAATCAATCTTTTGTTTCATATGTAAATATCTGCTTATATCTTCTACCTCTTATGTTTAATGGGAAACAAATTTTTAATACAAAATTTTTATATATTTAATGTAAAGTTAAAAAAGTCATTCACAGTAATTTTTTCATTATTCAAGCGACTGGAATGGTTTAGATGCTGTAAGTGCCACAGAGTTGTGTCTTGGCTTATGCTGTTCACTATGGGAGCCCCTGACCATGTGCAGCTATTTATATTCAAATTAGTTTAAATTAAATAAAATTTAAAAATTCAGTTTCTCATTTGGAGTACACACATTTCAAGTGCTCTGTAGCCACAAGTTGCTAGTGACTACCAGATTGGATAGTACGGATATGGAACTCTCTCATCACTGCAGAAAGTTCTAACAGATAGTGCAGTTGTGCCAGCATTGGGACAAAATCATGAGAGGTAGGACAATGAAAATTAATTTGTCTTTCTCTGTTGCCTCCTAAGCTTTTGACTGTTGACTGAATGGACATAGCCAGGAGACCAAATGCTTAAGAAAAAATAGAATAGTAAGTATTAATCTAAAAGGTCAATATATTTCTAGGGAACATCCCTTCATTATACACTAACAAGGGAAGATAAGACTAAAATAATAGCATCCTCTAATAGTCTTACAGAGTAAGTATGTTTTCTGGAATTTTCTCTTTTTAAAAATCCCCACTGAAAGTATTTTTTATATTCTATATATTCCAAGAGAAGGAATGGTTGCTAGGAAAGAGGAAGAATATTTTAGCAGGATACCTACAAACTTTTCAGAAGAGGGAATTGTACAGATGGAGCATTTTATTGCACAGTGCAAAATGCTCAGATCTCTACAAGGAGAAGTCATGTGACCTGGAGAAAGAGCAAAGATCTTAACTTCCTTTTATTTATAATTTCTAATTATTGATATTTTATAATTATACAGTTTAATTTCTTAGACTTCATTCCTTAAATGTTGAGCCTTGAAATATCTGTGGAGAATCACAGAGGCCTGCTTAGGTGGCAAGTTCTAGTCACCCCCTTAAGGGTGCTCATCTCGTACAAACTCATTTCCCATCTCATCAGTTCCAACCAGGAGGCGGGGAGACCAGTTTCTCATTTCTCTGCATTAAGACTACAGGGCCAAAACTAACAGAAGAGAGGACAAGGATTCTTGCCTCACGAGACTGAGCCCGAGCAACCCCTATTTCTGGAAATGGAACACGCCTCCTGGACAGCATGCTGCCTGGGACATACGTTAGGGGCATCTTAGGAGGCTGGGGACAATGTGCCAGCTGCGCGTGTTCCAGGTGTGCTGTAACTGATGGAGTGATTGATGCGCTCTTGTCCTTTTGTCCAGAGCTCAGCAGAGTGATTTTGCACAGAGCTCAGCAGACTCCGAGAAGTAAAAATATCATGACACGTTCCACAGAGATGCTTTAGATAGCAGTTTCAAAAAGATTCCACATTTTAGACCCACTCATGTGACTGAACAAAGAGATCAAGGGCTTTGCCTCCTAGATATTAATTGTGAATAGAAACTTATAGGTAACAGCCTCTGTGCAGAGAGACAATAGACCTAAGAAAAGGACCCTTCAGATTCTTTCCAAGTTAACTGTCTGGGAGGTGAGGGCCCTTTTGGGTGTGTGTTTAACTCTGTGTTTCCACAATAAGCAATTAAAAAAATTAAACTACAACTTCTGTCTGAGAGGAGAGTCAAGATGAAAATAAAGCATCAAAGGCCTGAACTTACATGTTTTCCTCACAGGAAAGACTAGGTAGAGATCTTGTCACTTCCTGGCTTATTTTAACGCAAACCAAATTATTGCATTCTGCATTTGTCCTCAGTGACAACATTATGACTCAACATTACAAAATTCAGGTTCTTAGACACAAAGGACAAAGTCCAATCTAGAGTTCATCAGGTCATACAAAAATAAAACACAATGAACACAGACAACAGCATTCTCTGGATATGAGAACAGATTTTTTTTTTCTCCTTTGAAAAATGTGAGGTGAAGTAAGAAATTCTTGTTACTAAGAAAACATGCTCTGTGTAGGTCTCAAATCGTGTCTGCATCTATCTGAGGTAAGCAGGGTTATTGTGGCCTCCAAGCTCCTACTTTTCCCACGTTGAAAATACCGCTTATGACGAATCCCTTTTCATTTAGCTCAGTAATTACCTCTTAACTGATTATTGTTTTATTGTTTTCAGGATAACAAAGTGGTTGTATAAAGTGGGAGATTTTATTTAGGGGGCACCTCTATTCCTTTATTTTGATGGATACTTTTGATGGATGAAAAGCAACTCAAAACAATAATTCCTAACAATAGTGTTTGGTTCATATTTTATATTTTAAACATAGTTCAATATGGTATTTTACCTCTTACAAAATGCACTTTCATATGCACTGCTTTGATTCCCCAGAGCCACCCTGTATGGGGTTATCATATAATTTCTTAAATCCTATTTCACATACATGAAAACTGGCTCTCTAAACTTTAGTGACTTGCATAATCAGGAAGTGATAGAGTTGCTGTCAGTGTCAAGAGCAGCTCTAACTCCGCTTAAGTCCACTGTTCCTTTCATCTTCAATAACGTGCTATACATTTAAAATGAGAGTGTTCAGTGTTACCGTTGGTAAGTATATAGACTTTAGAAACAGTGGATCAGTTTAGGTCCCATTTCTCTGAGTTACTGACCAAGTCACACTGGTTAATCCACTGTTCCTCTTAGGCTTCAGTTTATTCATCTATAACAAGGGAATACAAATAGCACCTCCTGACAACATGTGGAGAAACTGCCAAGGGAGCTAATGATTGCTTATAATGATGTCTGGTACACTGTAAAGACTTATGTGTATTTCCTGTTATTATCATTAAAAGTTGCTGCTCTCCTTAAATTTTCATTCCTCTTACATCTTTATGTTTACTTTTGTTTACTTTTGCATAATTTCAGAGCTGATTCCCCAGAGCATGCAGTTATATTTAGGAAAAATTAGTACTTCTGGAAGAAAAATATTTCCATAATTAGAGATTGAAAAAGTCTCTGACAAAGTATCTTTTCTGACAATTTATACTTTGCTATTTTTACCCTGATTCATTTTTCAGTGAGTTGATTGAATCTAAGATTAGCTCTTAGTATTCTCTTAAAGTAACCTAGATTTGTAGTCATATGCTGTAAATGGATCCCATTATATTTCTGTAAGTAAGCTCTCAAATTATTGCATCATGCATTTGATTGTGTATACTAACAAGACCGTTGTCAAGCCACATATATATTATGAATAAGGGTTAGAAAAAGGAATCCCTACTTCAGGATGGACCCACACCCTCCCCAGGGACCTGCCTTTGCAAGTTAAGCTTAAGTACAATTTCGCAGTCATCTCACTGGGAGGTGTCCCTGTGCAGTGAACAACCCGAACAACCAATGCGATGGCCCAGTGTCCCAGCACCCTAGAGATTACAGGACTGTTGTAGCTGCTAAAGGGCCAAGTGCAGCACTGCAAGAAGAAAATTCTGAAAACGGCATACCTCGTGATACTTTTTCACAGTTTTCCCTGAATTGCACGTACAGGACTTCCAGTTGACAGTTCCACAGCCACAGTTTCCTCCGCAACGCTGCACAAGGAGGCAGCGTGGAAAGAAGACCACATTGGTAAGCTTCAGCTCTTCTCTCAAGTTGACAGAGTAATTCCTGGGAGTGCAACTGTAACGCTTGACATCGTCATTGAGCCTGTCCAGGTCAACTGTAAGAAACACACGCGCTAGGTAACCAAGTGCACGACTGTGGCATAAACACTCAGCATGCATCTTGGGGGCAAGGTGGGGAGATTCTGTGAGGACAGCCGCAACGCAGGGATTGACCCTATTCATGGGATCTCAACTACTACCCCAAATACCAAAAGTGAGTGTCGCATGCTCAGTCATGTCCGACTCTTTGCGACCCTGTTAACTGTAGCCTACCAGGTTCCTCTGTCCATGGGATTTTCCAGGCAAGTATACTGGAGTGGGTTGCCATTTCCTTCTCCAATACCATAGGTGGAAAATCTAATTTCTCTTTTGATCCTATCTTCACCTTCAAAAAATAAAATCAACAACAGCAAAGAGAAAACAAAATGACCTTCAAAAACTTAGCTAAATCTTGGCTCAATTTTTCTTGCACCTTTCTAATGCAAAAAAAAAACAAAAACAAAAAACAAAAAAAGTTCCAATGAAAGAAAATAAAACATTCAGCAATTTAAAATAATTGTCTTTACCTTAAAAAATATGTGTGTGTGTGTGTGTGTGTGTGTATGTGCAAAAGTATATATATATACCTTCTTGACTTTAAACAACTCCTGACTCTAAGCCATTACTTAATATAGTTTGAATTATATCAGGGACATATTAGGGAGAATTATTCTAATTTATTGATCTGACAGTGAAATTCTACAAGTAAATGTGATGAATAAAAAGTTTTAGCTTCATTGTAACTCCAAGGTTAGCAAAATGTCAAAGGACAAGGAATTTGGAGGTTGTGAATATGATGCATATTTGTGCATTGCATCCTAGATGGCAGTATAGCGTAGTGGTTAAGTGCTTGGGCTCTGCAGTTAATCCACAGCAGCATTTAACTCATAGCTATATCTCCTTTCAGTTGGTAAGTTACTTGACTCCTCTATACTTCTGTTTCTTCATCTACAAAATGCAAATAGTGTAACTTTAGTTATTTCAGCAATATTTGAAGTATTGAAAGCAGAGTGCCTGGTATTCAATCTGGTTTTTATCATTCATCTTGATTCAGTTCCTCCAGTTTTTCCCTTTAAAGTCAAATGGTCAATAATTTAAAAAAATTTTTTTTTCAGATCTGCCTCTTCTATTTCTCTCTTTTGGTCATTATTCTATGTAAATAATTATCTGGGGGGTTGGCTATCAGGACTTCTTTAAATTAAGAGTATTACACTAAATTTTCAGATTTTAGTCATTAATATTTTACTTGAGTTACACTTGTATTATTGTACTATATAAATTATATTTTAACTTGTGGTCTCAAAATCCATCTAATTATCCATCTATTTGGGATTCAAATCCTCTGGCGGGTGAGCTTGTACATGAATATCTCCTCACAAGAATCAGTTAGGGGAAAGTCCTTTGTCCATTTCCGGGTTCCATGCCATTTCTGAATGCACTTCCCCTGTCACTAGTCAGGCTACTGCAGGAGGAACCCCACAAATGCCAGGCAGTTGTCATCAGACTTACTCTGATTTTAACCCCATTAAATGTCTTAGCCCTAAACAAAAACTGCGTGAGGAGTAGTAAGGAGTGCTCTTTTGGGGTAGAGGTCAAAGGCTAAGGATGCTGTCAGTAGAATGCATCTGAATGAGACAGAAATGAAAGAAGGCACAAATGGATGAAGATTCCACTTAACCCCATGAAGTCAGCTAAAATGCTGGCCATGTGGTCGATGACCCCCTTGAATAAGGAATTCAATGGCAAGTGGACTCATGCTCTGCCCTGTGTGCCTTTGATTCTCAAGGGCAGGGATTTTACCCCAACTCTCACATGCTGAGCCCAGGACACTGTGGGAGTTGCAGAAATGCTAAAAAATTATCATGCATAATTGATGGCTGTTTTCTTCTTCCTTTGCAAAGACATATCATAAGTTTAGCTATAATCAATCCAGTTTTAAATTAAATGAACTCTGTCTTGGGAAAGGAACCATTTCATTGCTGCTAAAACCCTGAAAATAACTGCAAGCAAAGCAGAGAGGATTACATAAATGGATTAAGAAGTGCTGCAATCATCCATTATAAGTGTCACCTTGAGATAAATACTGATGCTGGCTGTGCTTTACTGGGCTGCAGACAGGGCTAAAGCAGAGGGCCAAAGCTGCAGATTGTGATGCTGGGGGTATATTTTGTCCACCATCTAGGAGCGAGAGGTACTATTTGCAGGAAGGGGTTGTAGTAACGTGTGAGGTTTCCCGGGTGGCTCAGTGGTAAAGAATCTGTCTGACAAAGCAAGGAGACATCGGGGGACTCAGGTTCAACCCCTGGGTTGGGAAGATAAGCTGGAGGAGGCACTGGAAACCCACTCCAGTATTCTTGCCTGGAGAATCCCACGTATAGAGGAGCCTGGCAGGCTACAATCCATAGGGTTGCAAAGAGTTGGATATGACTGAGCCACTGAGCACATGGTGAAGTGGGGAAGGCCAAGAGGGAAGGGAAGGAAGTGACAGACTGGGTGTAGGTGGGTTCAGCCAGTCCTCTCCTAGGCACCTGACTCACAGGCCTACTTACTGAGGCTCCCCACCCTTTTGAGATGTGTGTTACCTACTCAAAGTGAATACTAAGTAGGAGAACTGGGCTTGAAGTCATTCTCCCTCTTGCTGCCCGGTCTCTGCCACATCAGGTAGAATGGGGGGCTGGCAGGCAACCTGGGGTTGAAGGGAGAAGACCAATCTCCCTGGCATGATATTAAGCTCTCCTGTATGGTGGTGTACTAGGACTGGGGTGGTGAATGGCTACACCCTTATGTCCGGAATATGTCCAAGCCAAATTATAGTGTGCTTTCCAGTGGGAACTCAGCTGATCACCTAGAGAGCCCTCCACAAATCAGGGTAGGCATGCATGCCTTACTTGTCTTGGAACAGAACTCTTCACATTGTATAACTGTTTTACTGACTCACACTGGTTACTTCCGTTTCCTACCGGCCATGAAGAGATTTACGATGCTGTCAGTTATTTATGCACCGATTCCCTGACGTGACTAAGAACTGTGGCCCTGTGTGGTTTCTGTAGAATCCAGCTGCCCTGCTTATCGGGGGGATTGAAACCATGAAGGCACTCAATTTAGAACTAGAACTAAAAACATTCCTCAGAGTGGATGCAAATAACTTTAAAGTGCCATTGCAGACTTTCTGCAGGGGATATTGAATTTCAAGTCAAAGAAGACTGATTAGGCAGTGCAGCAGAGCGGGGAGCCAGACAGGGGACTGGGTGGCAATTAAGGCTTCTGGAGCTCCGGTCTGAGGGGGACTCTGGTGTGAGCTTCTGTGGGGGGTAGGGTGCAGGACACGCGGTACAAATCCGGGGAGAAGAGCCACCCTTCCCATTCCTGATTCAGTCTCCAGAGTGGAATATTACCGAAAGCGAGGATGTACCAAATTTAATTCAAAGGCCCATTAACTTCATCTAATTACCCTTATTTCACTCAGCTGTACATAATGTCATCATCCCTCTTTCACTGTCCTTTTGAATTTGAGTCCGGCCTTCTCATGGATCTTTGACGTCATTTCCATTTTTGTGTTCTGCACTGACAATCTGCTGGAAAGGCTGACAGTGTTGTCAAAGCCTTCCTCTGGACACAGGAATCTAACGTGGGCCATTGCACCCAGCCGTGGGAAGCACCACTTTTCCTCAGGGCTGGCCTCAAAGTGCAGCCTAGTCACTGTGGGATGAGCTCTGCGGTCTGAGCACTAGGGCAGGGATATGTAAAGGGACGGGACGTTGTTGAATGCACACCCTCATAAGTTTCTAGTCTATGAAGGCTCAGATTTGGGAGGAAGGAGAGTTAGCCTGGTCTTTTTGATACTGGCCATCCCAAGTATCAGGTAATATAGCAGTTCTTCATGAATATGATTGCGTGAAATCCCCATCAATGCTATGAATTACATACTATTGTTAGCCTTATATTTACACTTGAGACAATTGAGCCTCTGAGAGGGAAGGGAAAAAACTTGTTCACAGCCACACATCCAGTCAGGAAAAGAGCCAATCTGAATCTAGCCTTTTCATCACTCTTGTACTTTGAAGCTCCAGTCTGAAGATTTGAAGAAGGGTGCAGCGAGCAGATTCTATGAGCCCTGTTGGAGCTTTCTGACTAGAGGTCTACTTCCTGTCAAATGACCTGGCTTCCTAGGTGCGTTGTCAGGCACTGACCTGTCACTTTTAAGATGTTGTCAATTACATATATCCAAGCATGTACTCCTGGGCACAAATATTCATCTATCAGATTCTACCAAGAAAGTACACAGGCCATAGTCTTGCAAGAAGCAGGCAACTGCACAGAACCTAGTGTTTTCCTTTGATATTGAAAAATGCCACCTGATGTGAACAGGTGACTCACTGGAAAAGACCCTGATGGTGGGAGAGATTGAGGGCAGGAGGAGAAGGGTATGACAGAGAATGAGATGGCTGGATGGCATCACCGAATCGATGGTCATGAGTTTGAGCAAGCTCAGGGAGTTGGTGATGGACAGGGAAGCCTGGCGTGCTGCAGCCCATGGGGTCACAAAGAGTTGGACACGACTGAGCGACTGAACTTCCTTGAGTTAGTCTCTTCTGGGTACCAAGTTTATTATGCTGTTCCCTCATCAATCTTTATCCTGTCATATGTGTCACCAGTCTTGAATATTCTTGCTATTCTCCAATTAAACTTCTACATATTCTTGGAGTTAGCCAGTAATCATTTTGTATGCATGCATGCTAAGTCACTTCAGTTGTGACCAATTCTTTGCAACCCTATCGACTGTAGCCTGCCAGGCACCTCTATCCATGGGATTCTCCAGGCAAGAATATTGGAGTGGGTTGCCATGCTCTTCTCCAAATAATCGTTTTACTATAATCCAGTTACGGCCTTTACAGTGCTAAAATCCTCTAAGGGTTCTCCTAGCAGGTAGCCTCTGTTCCTGCAGATTTAGCACATGGTCCCAGCACCAGAAGAGCAAGTGTCTGAAGGAGGGCCATGCTTTGCTTAGCATCAAGCT